ACAAGGGTGGACAGCATCAAACAAGGGGTGGACAGCAACAAACAAGGGGGCAGCAACAAACAAGGGGGAACAGCAACAAACAAGGGAAGGACAGCAACAAAGGGGGGACAGCAACAAACAAGGTAGTACAGCAACAAACAAGGACAGCAACAAACAAGGGGGGACAGCAACAAACAAGGACAGCAACAAACAAGGGGGACAGCAACAAACAAGGGAAGGACAGCAACAAACAAGGGGGACAGCAACAAGGAGGGAGAGCATCAAACAAGGGGGGACAGCAACAAACAAGGGGGAACAGCAACAAACAAGGGAAGGACAGCAACAAAGGGGGGACAGCAGCAAACAAGGGGGAACAGCAACAAACAAGGGAAGGACAGCAACAAAGGGGGGCAGCAACAAACAAGGGAAGGACAGCAACAAAGGGGGACAGCAACAAACAAGGAGGGACAAATAAACAAGGGGACAGCAACAAACAAGGGGGACAAATAAACAAGGGGGGGACAGCAACAAACAAGGGGGGACAGCAACAAACAAGGGGGACAGCAACAAACAAGGAGGGTAGAGCATCAAACAAGGGGGACAGCAACAAACAAGGGGGGGCAGCAACAAACAAGGGAGGGACAGCAACAAACAAGGGGACAGCAACAAACAAGGGGGACAGCAACAAACAAGGGAGGGACAGCAACAAGGGGGACAGCAACAAACAAGGGAGGGACAGCAACAAACAAGGGGGACAGCAACAAACAAGGGGGACAGCAACAAACAAGGGAGGGACAGCAACAAACAAGGGAGGGACAGCAACAAACAAGGGGACAGCAACAAACAAGGGGGGACAGCAACAAACAAGGGGGGACAGCAACAAGGGAGACAACAAACAAGAGAGGACAGCAACAAAGGGAGACTGCAACAAACAAGGGAGGGGCTGCAACAAACAAGGAGGGGCTGCAACAAATAAGGGGGGACTGCAACAAACAAGGGGGGACAGCAACAAAAAAGGGGGGACAGCAACAAACAAGGATGGACAGCAACAAGGGGGGACAGCAACAAACAAGGGGGGACAGCAACAAACAAGGGGGGACAGCAACAAACAAGGATGGACAGCAACAAACATGGTAGGACAGCAACAAGGATGGACAGCAACAAACAAGGGGGACAGCAACATGGGGGGACAGCAACAAACAAGGGGGGACAGTAACAAACATGGTGGGACAGCAAAAAACAAGGGGGACACCAACAAACAAGGGGGGACACCAACAAACAAGGGGGGGACAGCAACAAACAAGGGAGGGACTGCAACAAAAAAGGGGGGACAGCAACAGGGGAGGGACTGCAACAAACAAGGGAGGGACTGCAACAAACAAGGGGGGACCGCAACAAGGGAGGGGCTGCAACAAACAAGGGGGACAGCAACAAACAAGGGGGGACAGAAAACAAACAAGGGGGGACAGCAACAAACAAGGGGGACAGCAACAAACAAGGGGGACAGCAACAAACAAGGGGGCCACAGGAACAAGGGATCACAATTGAAAATTGCAGACTGACGAGTCACAGGGATGTTAGGAAGTATTTCTTCAGTCATAGAGTTGTCAGTAAGTGGAACAATCTGGAGAGTGATGTAGTGGAGGCAGGATCCTTACATAGCTTTAAGATGAGGTATGATAAAGCTCATAGAGCAGGGAGAGAGTGGACCTAGTAGCGACCAGTTTAGAGGCGTGACCAGGAGCTGCAAAAGCACCCCTACTCACTGGAGTGCAGTGGAAAGATGCATCATAATCCACACTTGGAAAATCCTAGAGGGACTAATACCAAACTTGCACACGAAGATCACTCCCTATGAAAGCTCAAGACTTGGCAGGAGACGCAACATTCCCCCAGAGAAAAGAAGAGACAACTAAGCAAGTCTTAGGGGCCCAAGACTGTTCATCTGCTTCCCAGCATACATAAGGGGAATTACCAATACACCCCTGGTTGTCCTAAAGAAGGCGCTGGACAGGCAACTTACGTCAGTACCTGACGAAGCCTGGTCGTGGACCGGGCCGCGGGGGCGTTGACCCACGGAGCAACTTCCCCCAAACACACACCTTGTGTATGTGTATGCACTCAGCTAGCTGTGGTTGCAAAGGTAGAGCCCTACCTCCTGGCCCTGCCTCTTTACTGGTGTGTGTGGGGGGGGGTGTACTCCTTTGGGTGTTGGTTGCCAGGGTCGATCTTAGCTCCTGTTGGGTGTGTGTTGGTGTTGGTGGGTGGGTTGTGGGGGTGTGTGGGGGGTGTGTGGGTGTGTGTGTGTGGGGTGGGGTGTGGAGTTGTGTGTGTGTGGGGTGTGTGGGGGTTGTGTGGGTGTGTTTTGGGGTGGGGTGGTGTGGTGTGGGGGTGTGGTGTTGTGTTGTGGGGGTTGTGTGTGTGGGTGGTGTGTGTGGGGTGTGTGTTGGGGGTGTGTTGTGGGGTTGTGGTGTGGGGTGTGTGTGGGTGGTGTGTGGGGGTTGGTGTTGTGGGGTGTGTTGTGTGGGGGGGTTGTGTGTGGGGTGTTGTGGGTTGTGGTGTGGTGTGCTTGGGTGTGTTGTGTTGGCGTGGTGTGTGCGTTTGGGGTGTTGGTGTGTGGTATTGGGTGGGTGTGTTGGGTGTGGGGGGTGTGGGGGGTGTGTGTGTTGTGGTGGTTGTTGTGGGTTTGTGGGGTTGGTGTTGGGGTGGTTGTGTTGGGGGTGTGGGGTTGGGGTGTGTGTGGGGGTGTGTGTAGGGTGTGTTATGGGTGTGTGTGTGGGGGGTGTGTGGGTGTGGGGGGGGTGGGTGTGTTGTGTGGGGTGGGGTGTGTGTGTGTGGGGGGTGTTTTGGGGTGTGTGGGGGTGGGTTGGATGATTGGGGGGGTGTGGGTGGGGGGTGGGTGTGTGGGGTGGGGTTGGGGGTGTGGGGTGGGTTGGGGGTGTGGGGGGGTGGGGGGTGGGGGTGTGGGGGGGGGGTGGTGGGGGGGGGGGGGGGGGGGGGTGTACCACCTAGTTCAGGTTGCGGGTCGGTCCAAGCTCCTGGCCCCGCCTCTTCCCTGGTCGTACTAGGTCACTCTCCCTGAGCCGTGAGCTTTAACATACCTCTGCTTAAAGCTATGTTGGATCCTGCCTCCACTACATCGCTTCCCAAACTATTCCACTTTTCTGACTACTCTGTGGCTGAAGAAATACTTCCTAACATCCCTGTGATTCATCTGTTCTTCAAACTTCCAACTGTGTCCCCTTTTACGTTCCAATCTCTGAACATCCTGTCTTTGTCCACCTTGTCAATTCCTCTCAGTATTTGTATGTCGTTATATGTCCCCCGTGTGTGTGTGTGGTGTGTGTGTTTTGTGTGTGTGTGTTTTGTGTGTGGGGGTGTGTGTGGTGGGGGTGTGTGTTGTTTGGGGGGTGTGTTGTGTGTGGGGTTGTTTTTGTGGTGGTGTGTGTGTGGGTGGGGTGTTTGGGGTTGTGTGTGGTGTGTGTGTGGGGTGTGTGTGTGGTGTGGTGTGTGGTGTGTGTGGTGGGGTTGTGTGGGGGTTTGTGGGGGTTGTTGTGTGTGTGTTGTGGTGGTTTTTGTGTGTGGTGGGTGTGTGTGTGGTGTGTTGTGGTGTGGTTTGTGTGTTTGGTGGGGTGTTTTGTGTGGTGTGTTGTGTGGTGTGGGGGTTTTGGTGTGTGTGTGGTGTGTTGTGTGGTGTGTGGGGTGGTTTTTGTGTGGTTGGTGTTTTTGTGTGTGGGTGTGTGGTGGTTTTTTGTGGTGTGGGGTTTTGGTGTGTGTGTGTTTTGTGTGTGGGTGTGGTTTTGGGGTGGTGGTGTGTTGTGTGGTGTGTGTGTGTTTGGGGGTGTGTGGGGGTTGGTGTGTTGTGGGGGGTGTGTGTTTTTGGTTTGTGTGTGGGTGTTGTTGGTGTGTGGTGTGTGTTGTTGTGGGGGTGTGGGTGGGGTGTGGTGTGTGTGGTTTGTTGGTGTGTGTGGGGTGTGTGTGGGGTGTGTGTGGTGTGTGTGTGTGGGGGTTTGGGGGGTTGTGTGGGTGTGTGGGGTGTTGGTGTGTGGGTGTGTGGGGGTTGGGGTGGGGGTGTTGGGTGGTGGTTGTGGGGTGTGTTTGGGGGGTGTGTTTTGGGGGGTGGGTGTGGGGTGGTTGTGGTGGTGTGTTGGGTGGGGGGGGTTTGGTGTGTGAGGGGTGTGTGTGGGGGTGTGTGTTGGGGGTGGTGTGGGGGTTTTGTGTGGGGTTGTGTGTGGGGGTGTGTGGGTGTTTTGGGGGTGTGGGTTGTGTGTTGGGGTGTGTGGTGGGGTGGTGGGGTGGGTGGTGTGTGGGGGTGTGGGTGGGGAGTGTGTGGGGGTGTGGGGTGTGGTGTTGTGGGGGGGGTGGGGTGTGGGTGTGGGGGGGGGTTGTGGGGGTGTGTGTTGGTGGGGGTGGTTGGGGGGTTGTGTGGGTGTGTGTGGGGGGTGGGGGTGTGGGGGGTTGTTGTGGTTTTGGGGGGTGTTGGGGGGGGGGTTGGGGGGGAAGTGTGGGGGGTGTGGTGGGTGTGGTTGGGGGGGTGTAAATGTTCGGGTAGGCGCGCGTGTGGGGTATTTGGACATGACAACTAGTGGTTTTGGGTGTTAAATTATGTAAATAATCAGATGTAAGGTAAACCCGGATTGACGTTAGTAATAGACCCAGTTGTTGGTTTTTCTGGAGGGTTATTAGGAGAGCTAATTACCCCGAATTAAGGGATGTTTAGTCCAAGGAATGTAACGTGAGTTTACAGCTCAAGTTATATTATTCCCTGGGTTTAGATGCATTTTACTATTGTGCTGTGTCGTCGGGCCTACCTTTGCCCGTTCATCATGGGAGGGGGCGCATCATACTGAACAGCACCTATGGCTTTTTGGACATTATTATAAGCTAATCCCAAAAGTAAAACCTCCCCATATTCTCCACAGGTACCTGATAAACATTACAGCTTGCAAACTACCGGGTTTCCACGTTATTTCAAAAGGTATATATCTCATCCTCGTCCGGGACCACGCATCAACCCTCACCCAAGGCTTGTATGCTAGTAACCAAAGTGGATAATGAAGCAAAGGTTTAAGGACATTGGTGGGTAGTGACTTGGAGATGCACTGGATGGGGGCACCAATGAACTCCTTGGCAGTGACCAGTGCCCCGGATATTACAAATACCACAAACGTCACACGATAATGCAGGTGGAACACCGCATTATCCACCTGTGCATTGTGTTTCTTTAATACCTTGGCCGCGGCCAGATATTTGAACATTATGCAGGTATTTCGTCAGATCCCGACGCGGGAGGCAACACAAACACTCGACCTGGCTCCTCAACCAAACGGTTTATCTTAAAAACCACTAACTCAGATTGGGTGGGAAATGCATGAGGGTTGAGAATAGGCTCCCATTCACCACTGTTTGGCTAGACAGTTCGCACACTACTGAGGCAGCTGCCTGATGGGCTAGTCTCTCCCTCCCAACTCCCTCTCTCAGTTTTCAACTAGTCTATATGCATTTGTACTCATCTTTTCCCTGTATTTACAATAATCTTGTGTCACTACAATAACCTTCTTCCACCTAACGTACTTTAATTTCTCCTCGAATTTGTCAAAAAAATAATATTCCCTTAGTAAAAACGAATTAATAAATCTCGAGTAGGCTTCCAAAATGATGCAACTGGCCATTTACTGCCCACAAAAGGTTTAAAATTTGCCATTTTTTTAATCTTTACATTTCTAGGTATTCGCTATAGAGGAAAAAATGGTTAGTCTTTCATTAGATTTGCTAGATAGGCTGTCAAACTAGGCCTTACAATGATAATAGGCCAAGGATCGTTGACAATGTTTGCCTCTACCACGTATTTTTTTAAGCAATGGTCTGTAAGGACCACAGTTATGGATACACAAAAGGTATATTATGTATCTTAAAGCCAGGATAACCAGGTGAAGTGGAGGTGTGTGAAGCCACCAAGCCGGTGTGGATCCCAGCACCAGGACTGGCTTAACAGCTTTCAATGACCACTAACTCTTGCCACACTCTTGCTTCACTCTCGCTTCACCAGATCACATATTGACTCACAAGTTAACCTTCAGAAAGCAAAAAAAAAAAAATATTAGGAACCAGTACCCAGATGCCCCGGGCAGAGACGCTAGGCTTCTCCTAGGCCTAGTACCAACACGCCATTTTCTGCCTTAAATAACATTTACACATACCCCGGTACCCAAAAAAAAAATTAATTCTTAATAATGATTTCTTGCCCGGGTATCAGGTGGAAAGACAGTGCAGTGACAATGCTGTCTAGGAGACGGGGAAAATGCTGACAGTATAATGTGTACCAGTGAGACAGCAATATTGAGAGGGCTGGAGGGGTATGGCTGCCCAGATGGTGGGGTATGGTGGGTTGCTAGAATACGGCTGATTGGTTTGGGTATGTAGGGGAGGGAGCGAGGGGGAGATAGGGACAATAGGGTGGCTGTTACTGCCCAGGATGAAGAGAGAAGAGAGAGAGAGAGAGAGAGAGAGAGAGAGAGAGAGAGAGAGAAAGAGGACAGAGGGAGACAGGATAGGAGGGAGACATAGGATAGGGGAGACGATGGGAGAGGGAGAGAGATAGAGAGGACAGGAGGGAAATAGAGAGGACTGGAGGGAGAGACAGGATAGGAAGGAGAGAGGATAGGAGGGGAGAGAGGATAGGAGGGAAGAGAGAAGATTGGAGAAAGGGAGAGAGAGATAGTTTTCAATGGAACAGAATCAGCAAGACATCCTATTGGGTCAAGTGTTCCACAAGGAAGCGTGCTGGGACCATTGTTATCAATCAATCAATTAAGATTATTCTCTATAAGGATTACAATACGGGGTTTACAGATTTTGAATATTGTGTGGTTTACATGTTTTAAAATACTAATTACAGAGAGGGCCACTACTTCAATGACCTTCTTCATCTCATCCCAGAATCACATGCATATGCAGACGACTGTACACTGACATTCACTTATCCAAGAGAAGAAATGCCAGCTGCTCTAAGCTACATCAATCACCAGCTGTGAGCTATATCAGCTTGGGGAAATAGATGGCAAGTAACATTTGCACCTGAGAAAACACAAATGTGATGGTCCTCTAGCACCATGATGTAATCCCTGAAAGGGGGAGTATAAATGGAAGGGTGTTGGTACCTGGAAAGAATTTTAAATTTCCTTTGGGGGAAATTTGACTCCAAACGCCAGAAGAACCCCATTAAAATCTGTAAACAAGGCAGCCCCAAAACTTACAGCACTTCGCCGTATCTTGCATTTTTCGACATAGGGGTTTCAAAATTCTGACAGCACAAGTACGCTCCCCCACCTTGAGTATGCTCAACTTTCCCTTTATTTGCCTGCCCCCCCCCCTCTCATCTGCGACTGCGACAGAGAGAGAAAAGCAAAACTTTATCTCTCGCCTGGCCCATCCTGGAAAAGATCTATTTCAGCAGAGCCCTTTTAACCCCAAGGGATGGGGTGGCCTTATTTAGACAAGGCCAATATTTTCAAAGTACCCCACTTGGGCCACTTCGAGGCAGCGTGAAGCAAGCTTCTATACCACAAGACGGGGAGAAAGCACAACTTCCTCTACTGTAACCTTTTCCAGAAAAATCATTTACTGAGATCATTTACCCCAGGGTGGCGCCAGTCTGGAAAACCCTTTTACGCATTATGATGTCAACGAGATCAAGTCAGTTGTCAAAGAAAAGCGGCCCCCAATGGTCCCAAATTTTATCCTGTTCCCTACTTGATGTCTCATAACAATAAAAAGCTTTCAAATGAGCTGGGTGTAGGAACACCTTAGCTTGTCAATAAAGTTAGGAATCCTTAACCTGTAAATAGCTTGTCAATAAAGCTAGGATCCTTAACCTTGTCAAACCCTGTGTCAAAAGAGAGGAGAGAGAGAGAGAGAGAGAGGAGAGAGAGAGAGAGAGAGGAGAGAGGAGAGAGAAAGAGAGAGAGAGAGAGAGAGAGAGAGAGGAGGTAGATCATGGTAATGAATATGATATTGTGTATATGGACTTCAGTAAGGCTTTTGACAGGGTCCCACATCAGAGACTATTGAGGAAAATTAAAGCACATGGAATAGGAGGAGAAATTTTTTCCTGGATAGAGGCATGGTTGACAAATAGGCAGCAGAGAGTTTGCATAAATGGGGAGAAATCAGAGTGGGGAAGCGTCACGAGCGGTGTTCCACAGGGGTCAGTGTTGGGCCCCCTGCTGTTCACAATCTACATAAACGACATAGATGAGGGCATAAAGAGCGACATCGGCAAGTTTGCCGATGACACCAAAACAGGCCGTCGAATTCATTCTGACGAGGACATTAGAGCACTCCAGAAAGATTTGAATAGACTGATGCAGTGGTCGGAGAAGTGGCAGATGCAGTTTAATATAGACAAATGCAAAGTTCTAAATGTTGGACAGGAAAATAACCATGCCATATATAAACTAAATAATGTAGATCTTAATATTACGGATTGCGAAAAAGATTTAGGAGTTCTGGCTAGCAGTAATCTGAAACCAAGACAACAGTGCATAAGTGTTCGCAATAAAGCTAATAGAATCCTTGGCTTCATATCAAGAAGCATAAATAATAGGAGTCCTCAGGTTGTTCTTCAACTCTATACATCCTTGGTTAGGCCTCATTTAGACTATGCTGCACAGTTTTGGTCACCGTATTACAGAATGGATATAAATTCTCTGGAAAATGTACAAAGGAGGATGACAAAGTTGATCCCATGTATCAGAAACCTTCCCTATGAGGACAGACTAAGGGCCCTGAATCTGCACTCTCTAGAAAGGCGTAGAATTAGGGATGATATGATTGAGGTGTATAAATGGAAGACAGAAATAAATAAAGGGGATGTAAATAACGTGCTGAAAATATCTAGCCTAGACAGGACTCGTAGCAATGGTTTTAAGTTGGAAAAATTCAGATTCAGGAAGGATATAGAAAAGTACTGGTTTGGTAATATAGTTGTGGATGAGTGGAACAAACTCCCAAGTACAGTTATTGAGGCTAAAACGTTGTGTAGTTTTAAAAATAGGTTAGATAAATACATGAGTGGGTGTGGGTGGGTGTGAGTTGGACTTGACTAGCTTGTACTACTAGGTCAGTTGCCGTCTTCCTTCCTTAAGTGAATGTGACCTGACCTGGCTAGGTTGGGGCATTGGCTTAAGCCGGTAGGAGTCTTGGACCTACCTCTTATAGGCCAGTAGGCCTGTTGCAGTGTTCCTTCTTTCTTATGTTGTTATGTCCAATACCATGACTGGAACAATACATAAACAACGTACACACAAGAGACAAACCTGCCTCAACGTTTCGCTCCCACTTGCTACAAATTCATTTTAACTCGTTAGTAAGCCAGGATAACCCAAGAAAGCCAAGCAGCCTGACTTACTGCTACTGTGGTACATAGGTGCTCTTCCCCAGGATGCCAACCACACCACGCAACTAACACCCAGGTTGTAATAATGTTGGTAGAATTACCCACAATATGTAAAGTAAAAGGACACAAGTGCAACTAATGTGACATTTTATTGTGGCAACGTTTCGCTCTCCAGGAGCTTTATTGTTTGTAATGGCTTGATAAAGCTCCTGGAGAGCGAAACGTTGGCCCAATAAAATGTTACATTAGTTGCGTTTTGATCGTTTTAACTTGCAAATAAACCATACCCCTGCCGGGAAGAACCCGCGGGCATAAGTACTAGAAACTCAGCGTTTGCGCTAATGAATCTAGACTACATAAAGGGATTCATCCAAAGTGTATATGACAATAGGAAAGTTAGCCAGCACCTCTGAACCACAAAAGGCAAGCTTGGATAAGACAATCTCCAGCTGGTGTTCCTTATTTAATTGACTCAAGTTTTGCCGTCCCTGACTTAAGAAATGTAATGCACGATTGCAGTAATAAACATATACCCCGTCCGGGATGAAGGGCATTTAAATCTCAAAAACTCACCGTTGGGTACCACTAGGGCACATAAGATTCATCTAAACTAGGATATTTCACTACAAGCAAAATCACAGCCCTCTGTGACCACAATGCAGTTTTTACAGACGACTCAGCAAGCGTGCCAGTGACGAACTCTAGCTCAAGCCCCACTCCTAACGACTTAAATCGTAATGACCGTTTCAAAAACCATACCCCGGCCAGGATTGAACCCCGGACATAGGTCGTACGGCCAGCTATTGAGATCGTGGTAAAAACTTTCAATTTGGTCACAATGCCTTGTACATCCTATGTGGAAATATCTATTAGAATCAATTTAGTGACTTAGCTCAGTAAGTGCTACGCGAGAGCTCTTGATTTGAGACTCAGCAGGGTTCATCGGGGGTGGTTCCTTGTGCAAACGTCATTGACGTTCTTAAGTCATTTGAGGCAGTTGAAGGGGACTTGCTATTGTCCACCTTGTGAGATTCTCTGTAAAGCTTG